GGGAGGAGGGGATCTGCGACTTATTATATAGGATATGCTTTTTACTGAAGGCGAAAAAAAATGCTGACATCTGCGCAACCTTCACCAATGTAAATCAAGGAAATGTGGTAATGTCGTCCTGATACAGTGTTAGCTTCTGAACATGTTATATCTGCCAAAGTTGTTTACTTCAATTTTATGTCCATGTTTATACAGAAATACTTCTTTAGCCTCTTGTCTATAGGATAAATATGCATGCATGAGAGCAAAAAATTTTTCTATTAGCAACTGTTTAGAACATCTCGAATCAGAAAAGTTCGAAAAGTTTGCTCGTTTTCTTCCTTCAACAACCATAAAACACCAAACTAACTTACACTTTTTGTGAGCGCCTGTTAAAACATTATCACCTTTGCTGACTTTCTGGGCTATCAAACCTATGTGTGCGACATGATATTAATTTGAACGCGTGGTATATTTTAATTACCTCCTACAGCAGAAAACTTCTAAATCATAGAAGTAAGCTTAATATCAAGGTTGTGGTCAAGCAGTCAAGGAGTTACAGCTTCGCTACAAACATCAACTGGACAGCTATTCTCAAACGGGATACATCGACTAGACTCACAATTTGTAACAAACATATACTGTTCAAAGCTAGTAACTTACAACCCATATGGCTCCTTCCTTATCGAGACTAAGATTATCCGTTGTAGTGCCTAGAGGGATGTCGAATAAGTGTGAAAGCGAATAATCTTTCTAAATTTAAGAGAAATGAAATTTGTGCACGATATAGATCATAGAGGCTGCAAGCTGGAAAATATACCTTCTTTCTGATGTACACAGAGAGCATTTTGGCGGAAGCGCGCGAGATAATCAGGTGTTTGCCATCAGGATGCACCACAATCGAACTTGGAGACGTCGTTTTTGATAAAAGCCAGGACGTCTTCTACACATTTAAGCACAGTTTGAACAGCCCTGCCAGAGAAATCAAAGTGCGAGGAATCACCTGCCCATCATAGTACACAATACTTCCGGTTGGGATCATAGAGAATTGATGGATAGTCTCAATGATTTGTGATTGTGCAGAGCCATCGTTGGCGAGTATAAAACTATTTGCGGACACCGCCACCAGGTCGTTCGGCCTAAACGTTCAAAAAGATCCTTCACTGACAAGCAAGGTATCTGTTTACCTGATAAATTTGTCATCCTTGATAATTTTCACAATATTTAGCTCTCTGGAACTGCGATCCCAGTCAAGTACCATTACAGAGTGCTTGAATTCTTTTGTGTGG